GTATTTTTCATATCACTAAGGTGAATCTCCAATGGTGAAGCTTGCTGGGCAGGTGCGTGTGATGATATATGTTGTTGCTCTCGCTGGTAACGACCAAAGAGATGCCGAACAGCAGAAGGAAATCACCTACTTCAAGAACTCTATGGAGTCTCTGCGGTCCCTATCCAAGAGTGCTCATGTACTGCTCCTGTGAGGTCATCCTCGATTCACAACGGTCCAGGTTTACGTCCTTCTCCACAAGTTCGACCTCGTGCCGGAGAACGAGCGGGAGGCTCGCTTCAAATAGTAGTGGTCGTTCAAATATGAGGATCCACCGCGACTTGGGTCTTGCTGCCATCAGTTACTCCGAGCTGCTCTCGCCGTATTTCGCTGGTATGACCACTCAGATCTTCCAGACCAGCATCTGGGACGAGACACTCTATCGGTGAGTGTGGCGGTGGAGGGAGTATTATAATTTGTCTGCTGCTCAGCGCTTGGTCGGAGATCGCTCATTCGCTGATCCCCAACATGGACGAGCTGCAGAGAGAGCTGGCCAATTTCGCAAGTGCTGTGGAGGCTGACGAGGTCGGCGGAGAGTACGCGATGGTGAAGCCTATGGGAGTGTCAGGTGGTCTTGTTTGAGAAGTCTACCTTCCTGGTCATTGCCAATCACACTACGAAGCAGATGGCCGACCCGCATCGGTTCGAGAAGATATCAAATATTGTGAAGCAGTTCAAACTGAGTGTCAAGTGAGCCGGCCTTGGAGTTGTCCCAACGCTGGACGTATCTTGACCTCAGCAAGCACCACGCTGCCTTCAACTCTTTGGACGTCTCCAACTCCAACTTTCGGGCCATTATTGATCGCTTTACGCCCAACACGTTCGTCATGGTGGTCACTTCTGATCCGAATATTCGTAAGCCGGGCACACATTTCATCTCGGACACCACATTTCAGATCCGGCTGCTACCACTTGCAACATCAATGCTGCTCGCAGCCACTTCCTCGCGGTAAGACCCTGTACAGATTCCTATGTGTAGACTGAGCGGCTTCCTCTTATGTAGTTGGCCGCTGAAGATAAGGGAATCGGGCTGCATCTATGAGCGGATCGTGTAGCACTACGGCTAGTGGCAGGAGACAGATCTTGTGAGAATGTTTCAATTTTGCGATGAAGCGAGTTTGGATTGGACCTCTTATATGGCTTGGGAGTAGTTGTGTCGCGGGCAATGCTATCGGCGGATCGGAGGGCTATATATGCTTCTCGGTTTCTAAGTCCTCCAGGCTTCATGAAGCGTCTTAAACAACGGGGG